TGTGGACCCACCAGATGAGCAATGGACTATTCTGTTGGATCTCCTCCTGTAATAAGTTAAAGCTCAAATCCAGCCTCTTTGCAAAATGACCATATTTGCAAGCAAGAAATTGTGGAATTTTTGCACAATCTTTTCCGATGTATGACACCTGGGCGCCGGTCACCGTCTCCCCGTCGTGCCCAGGTGTCATACATCAGAAAAGATTGTGCAAAAATTCCACAATTTCTTGCTTGCAAATATGGTCATTTTGCAAAGAGGCTGGATCTGAGCTTTAACTTATTACAGGAGGAGATCCAACAGATTAGTCCATTGCTCATCTGGTGGGTCCACATATAAGGCTTGATGTGGAAGGAGGTCTGGTGGAATCCATAATATAAGCATTCTTGTTTTTGACTTCTCTGGCTAGAGGGTCAAAACTTTTTGCACTCTAATTTGCAGACCTGCTCCTGGATACACCGGAGGGACCCAGACCAGATCCTTTAACGTCCAACACCAGGGGGACCCCTAAGTGGAGAGGATCATCAGCCTCATACACAGCTGAGGGAGGACCACCCAGTATCGGATGACACCTGGATCATTTATACACAAAGGCGCATATTTTATGCGGGTCTGTGAGTGCGCATTGCTTTATCACTTTCGTGCACGGATACCTGAACCAAGTCACCTGAATACCTAAGTCACCTGCATACTTGAGCACCTAATCTCTGTCACCTAATTGAGAAGGACTTTTTATTGATCGAACTGATTGAATACATGTCATTACCTATATATGTTTAGCGCTGCACTTTATTTTATGTTTAGTATACAAACATTGCAATAGCATGGTGAAAAGTGAGAAACTGGCAGATTGGAGCAATATTTAAGGCGTGAGGAAGGAGCGCATATGCTCCGCAATGCACTGCCATGCCCACCGTCACACATCCAGTTGTTACATCCATCACATCCGCTCTCCTAGTGTGTTCCATGCAAACCAGGAAGCCCTGAGAACCTCCAGAGCAGTTGATCAATAGGTGATCCCTGAAAACCCATCTCTTCAGGGAAGCCTACCCCGCCCTCACCTAACTGATCTCCTCCACTCCTCCTACCACTCCATCCCCCACAGCCACTTCCTCCTGTACCACTATCCCCTCGCTCCTAGATTGTAAGCTCGAAAGAGCAGGTCCCTTGAATCCCTCGTGTTTTGTTACTGTATTGTCTCATGTTCTGTCCCCCACTATAATGTACATCGCTGAGCAAACCTTTTAGCGCTATATCAATATTGTATAATAATAATAATAAGTTGGTTCACACCCCTTTAACCTGATATACTGGGACCGGATGTCAGAACGGTAGCTTTTTATGACTAATGTCAAGGTGATGGGAGCAGAGAGTTGGTTTTTGCTAAAGGATGCCATATAGTTGGTGCATGGTCCACCATACCCAGGGCACTTCCAGTCTGGTGGAGTACATTGTTGGCTGGAAAAGTATGGCAGACTGACAGATGAAACATCCAACAACGTAAGCCTACAGTAAGTGTGTAGATGTAGGTTTTGTCAGACTGAGCCCTATTTATTTATTTTCAACAACTGAGTCTCTTCTGGACTGAAAGTCTCCTTACCCTTACTCTTACTTGTACTTGTCCTATGGCTGGTCATGTCAAATCACAGACCACCTTCTTCTTGCCTGGCTGCATTAATGGATGGTCCTTTCTGCAGTTCTGAAGGGCAGCTACACATACTGTAGATGTGGAGCATTGTGCAATGCTGCAGTACTGTGAGCCCAGGCCGGTATGATGATGGAGGTGGTGACCACAACATCCTGGGCTCACAAGAAGAGGTTGCAGGATCCTACCATTCACTCCAGAAGTGGGCAGAGATAATCGTCACAGGAGGATGCTTCCATGTTCCTAATCCCAGTTGATGGCTGCCAAAGTTAAAAACAGAATAGTAAGGACTGCTGACATGCTACAACAAATTGTGAAAGACTACCGACGTCACAGGCAACTGTTAAAGATGGCAAAATTAGACCATGTTAACAGTGCTTTTAAGATATATCAAGTGTCATTGAAGTGTTGCGTTTCTTACTATTGCTGGAGATAATTATCCTTATACTAAAGTTGCCTCCAGTGCTTCCTAAATAACATAAAGCCTAAGCTTTTGATGGCCTAAGCTGTTCAAAGTTTAGCCAGTCTGAACACCATACCTTCTTCTTAGGCCTGACCTGGTGCACACTAGTGCGGGACATGCAGCTTGCGTTTGCTTGGGCATGGCAGCCCATTCATTTAAACAGCATAAAAAAGGTGCATTTAAAAAATTACGCTGTGGGGTGCCATTGAGAATGAATGGGAGCCATGCGCGTCTTGCAAGATGCAGTTCCTGCAACTGAAACGCACAGTGTGAACCAAGCCTCAGGAGAGATCATGGGAGATAATCTACTATAAAAGGTGCACACAGAATCTGGTGCAGTTGTGCATGTTGGCTAATCGGCTTCTAACTTTAGCTTGTTCAATTAAGCTTTGAAAATAAAACCTGGAAGATGATTGGTTACTATGCACAGCTGCACCAGATTCTGTGTGCACCAGTTTTAGTAAATCTCCCCAGAGACCAAATACCTAGACGTTTTTGCAGGAAAGGTATTTCAAACCCTTCTAATTATGCTCTATTCATTAAGACAAGACAATTAACATAATGGGGTTGATTTACTAAAGGCAAATATACTGTCCACTGCAAGTGCAATTGCTCCTAAGCTTAGTAAATGAGGTAAAGCTTCACTTTTATAAAGAATATGCAATCACATGCAAGGAAAAGAAAAAAAACAGCACCTGCACCTCTTTTCAGCATTGTATTGCTGTGTCCTAGTTGCAGATCTTCTCTCGCTACCAGTCCGGTGAAACTGTTACTGTGACAGTAGCTGAAGGTGAATCTCTCTAAAGGAACACTAGGTAGAAGTAAAAACCCAGCAGGAGGTCTTATCCTACCCAACTCTGCAAATTTTTAAAAAGTTTCGGCTAGGCATTCACTTTGAAGTGTTACTAAAACCACAACAGTAATATCAGTCTGTATATGCAGTATAGCATGCTTGTTATACTCACTGTGGAACCTGAGGGGTTAGTCCCCTGCATATTGTAAAAAGACTGTTTGATTCTGTCTTCTCTGATCCTCCTCTTCTTTTACTGTAATAAATCCATCTGCCATAGTACAGAGCAGTAGTGGCAAGTTTGCACATGCTCGGTTTGGTGCAGGGGCGGACTGACAACTCATGGGGCCCCCGGGCAATAGGAAATCATGGGGGCCCTGTGTCCTTGCCCACACTCAAACCACACCCAAAAAAGCCTATGAAAGGTACCAGGAGCATCTCACGAGGCCCCCTATGGACCCCGGGCCCTTGGGCAGTGCCCGAGTGCCTAAAAGGTCAGTCCGCCCCTGGTTTGGTGTGTATTGTTAGAGAGTTGTTTGGTGTTTTTTTTTGTTTTTTTTTTTGGGGGGGGGCATGTGATCAGCACAGGGCCAGTCAGCACTGTCCACACAGAGGGTCAGGGAATCATGCAGTCTCATATGACAATCAATGGAAACAAGTGAGCGCTATCCAAACAACTGCTAAGTACTCAAGGTACCAAAACAAGCCTTAAATAACAAAAAGAATAAATAGTGCAGCACTAGAATAGACAATATATATTCACAGTTATCAAAATTTTATTCAATATGAGCAGTCTATGCAGTAGTAAAAGTGTCAGGTGACTGGTAGACTCAGTGGTGGTGCTCCGTGATTAATAGCTGAAATGCGCACTCACCAGAAGTATAATAATTATACACGTTATATATTATTATATCCAGAGGTATCCTCATCAGGTACAGGTCTGGTCAGATTTGGTAGTCCTCCCTCAGGGTGGTCATCATCAGGTGCCCAGAAGTCAGGATTACTCCTCTCAGGGTGTCAGGGAATTATGCCCATAGTGTAGTATTGAAATAATATATATTTATTGGTAAAAAGAATGTTTGCAAACAAGCAGGAGCTAAAACAGCATCAGGGTGTAGAAATGAAACTAACCCGTAGGAAATCAAAGATGGCCACTGGGCCTCCACGTAGCTCCGGCGGCGTAATGTCACGATGTCCTGGCCCCTCCTCAGGAGCCACGTAGAGGCCCGGCGGCCACCTTTGATTTCCTATGGGTTAGTTTCATTTCTACACCCTGATGCTGTTTTTAGCTCCTGCTTGTTTGCAAACATTCTTTTCACCAATAAATATATTATTTCAATACTACACTATGGGCATCCTTCTCTGACTCCCCGAGAGGAGTATTTATCCACAGAGCCCTTGCCAAGAGGAGGAATACTTGCTGTCGCTAGACAGCTCCACCCATCTACCAAACAAGGACCTCTGGCTTTGTGGATTCAACTAATCCTGACTTCTGGGCACCTGATGATGACCACCCTGAGGGAGGACTACCAAATCTGACCAGACCTGTACCTGATGAGGATACCTCTGGATATAATAATATATAACGCGTACTATTATTATTATACTTCTGGTGAGTGCACATTTCAGCTATTAATCACGGAGCACCACCATTGAGTCTACCAGTCACCTGACACTTTTACTACTGCAATGTTCTCATATGACAGAGGAGAATGAAAACTCCTCCTACAAAATTAACCAGTGCTCAGCCCAACACTGATAAAAGTCACAAGACTGCTCTAACTGCTGATAAGAAAAGGTATTCAGCTGTTTATATTTACTAAAATAATTGCATTTCCATGTTGTGTGTACTGTTGGAGAACGGATATAGTGAATGCAGGGCCGGGGTTTAGTAACACTTTAATCAGGGATGGTATAAAAATGTAAATTCTTGTTATGTGTAGATTAAACAAAAAAGTATGCTAAAATATTCTTTTAAAAATACAAATGTTATGAGAGTGTGACCAATGATGTTGTGTGGTTTGGAAATATAAAGTATAAAAAATAGAAACATTAGTGATGCTGTGTTTACATGTCCACATGTTTCAGCTCATTTCCTTTCTCAGTTTGCAGTGATCCAGATAGACACAGCACGAGAGCTGGAGGACCCAGACTTCTTGACGGAAAGCTACCTGAACCTGGCCCGCAGCAATGAAAAGCTGTGCGAATTTCAGAAGACCATCTCCTACTGCAAGACTTGTCTGAACATGCAGGGGACATCTGTCAGCCTGCACCTGAATGGACAGGTGTCACTGAGCCTGGGGAATGCCTATCTGGGTCTCAGCGTGTTCCAGAAGGCCTTGGAATGCTTTGAGAAGGCCCTGAGATATGCTCATAACAATGATGACAAGATGCTGGAGTGTCGGGTCTGCTGCAGCCTGGGGGGCTTCTACACCCAACTCAAGGTCAGCCATGACTCTAGTTTTTTTTTTTTTTTTTTTACACAACAGTTTATGGAGAATGAGGCAAATGAACGTAACCAGCAACAATTGTCCTCATTTGGTTCATTCAGTAAGAAAGTGTCAAATACAATGAAGACCTGTGTGGTGAAGTGACTCACATCCAACAGTGGTTTGTGTTGGTTACTGAACCCTTGCTCTTTGCATTCATTTACTGGGTCTGAAAGACTATGTTGCCAGTGGTAACCTTTCAGCTACTCCAGCCTTTCTCAACTTTGTTACCCCTGAGGAACCCATGAAAGAAATCCTAAAAAGGATTCAACCTACAGCTCAATGTACATTAATGTGATCAAGAAGCTGATTAAAGTTTTAAATAAAAGAATAGGGGGCATACCTAGCACATCTGACACCTAGAGCAGAATTTTGATCCCAACCCCCTACAAAATTGTTTTTGTTAATATTCTTGAAATGAAAATAAAAGGCAAACATAAAAACTGTGAAGTCCTCTAACATTTGTGATTCATGTAGCAATGACCCCTTACATTGGTGATATGTAATGCAAAAATGATAATCCACATTTGCCTACAGCTCAAGGAAACCCTAGCAACCTCAGGAGGAACCCAAGGGTTCCATGAAACCCTGATTGAGTGGGAAACACTGCCCTAGGAACATGAGACGAGTTCTTTGATGGTTAATGTGGGTTTCATCATTTCCTTCAGACGCTGCTAAAGCTTTCATTAAAATAATCCCTGGTGATGCTCCCGTAAAGGCCTTATTCAGGCACTTCCTATGAAAGGGTGACAACGCTCTGACCCTGTCTGTTACATGTGATCTTGCATTATCAATTAAGTCATTGATTTCAATAGAGTCTACAAGTGGCCTCTTAAGCACACATTGCTCAGGCATGATTCAATGTTGTCACAGGAAACCTGCCTGAAAAATGTCATTGCTGGGAATACAGTTGGACAGAAGGTATGTGCAAACCCCTTGGGATTATAGTGAGTTTTGCATGAATTGGGAATAAAATGTGCTCTGAACGTCATCTAAGTCACAACAATAGAAGAACACAGTCTGCTGAACAAAATACTACACAAACTTTAGATGTTGCTATGGTTTAATTGCACATAACATGTAAACATTCACAGTGCAGGAGGAAAAAGTATGTGAGGCCCTAGCTTAATGACTTCCCCAGAGCTAATTGGAGCCAGGAGTGAGCCAAACTTGACTCCAATCAGTGTGATGATATTGGATGTGTTGCTAACAGCTGTCCTACCCCTTAAAAAACACACACCTGTTTTGGGTTTACTGGTTTCAAGAAGCATTGTCTGATGTGAACCATGCCTCGCAGAAAAGAGCTCTCAGAAGACCTACGAATATCAAGAATTGTTGACTTGCATGAAGCTGGAAAGGGTTACAAAAGTATCTCCAAAAGCCTTGATGTTCATGTGTCCACGGTAAGACAGACTGTCTACAAATGGAGAAAGCTTAGCACTGTTGCTACTCTCCCTAGGCGCGGTCGTTCTGAAAAAAATGACTGCAAGAGCACAGCGCAGAATGCTGCATGAGGTAAAGAAGAATCCCAGGGTGTCAGCTAAAGACCTACAGAAATCTCTGGCACATGCTAACATTTTTTTTGACACATCTACAATAAGGAAAACATTAAACAAGAATGGAGTACATGGGAGGACACCACGGAGGAAGCCATTGCTGTCCAAAAAGAATATTGCAGCACGTTTGAAGTTTGCAAAAGAGCACCTGGATGTTCCACAGCACTACTGGCAAAATATACTGTGGACAGATGAAACCAAGATTGAGTTGTTTGGGAAGAACACACAACACTATGTGTGGAGAAAAACAGGCACAGCACACCAACATCAAAACCTCATCCCCACTGTAAAACATGGTGGAGGGAGCATCATGGTTTGGGGCTACTTTGCTGCCTCAGGGCCTGGATGGATTGTTGTCATTGATGGGAAAATGAATTCCAGAGTTTATCAAGACATTTTGCAGGAAAACATACGACCATCTGTCCGCCAACTGAAGCTCCGCAGAGGATGGGTGATGCAACAGGACAATGACCCCAAACAATAATTAATTCCAAGACAATGGCTGCAACAGCACAGAATACGCCTTCTGGAGTGGCCCAGTCAGAGTCCTGACCTCAACCCGATTGAAATGCTGTGGCATGACCTTAAGAGAGCGATTCACACCAGACATCCCAAGAATATTACTACACTGAAACAGTTTTGTGAAGAGGAGTGGTCCAAAATTACTCCAGATCGTTGTGCAGGTCTGATCTGCAACTACAGGAAACGTTTGGTTGAGGTTATTGCTGCCAAAGGAGGGTCAACCAGTTATTAAGTCCAAAGGTTCACATACTTTTTCCTCCCTGCACTGTGAATGTTTACATGTTATGTGCAATTAAACCATGGCAACATCTAATGTTTGTGTAGTATTATGTTCAGCAGACTGTGTTCTTCTATTTTTGTGACTTAGATGATGTTCAGAGCACATTTTATGCCCAATTCATGCAAAACTCCACGTAATCCCAAGGGGTTCACATACTTTTTCTTGCAACTGTATATTTGGACAGAAGGGTGGGTGCAAAGAGGCTGCAGGAGTATAGATGCAACAAAGGATGTAAAAAGTGGAAAAAAAACAACTGTTTTATATGCTCGGTGGTTAACTCAACTAAATATTATTCAATTAGGGTTTAAAATTACTTTGAGGCCTCATTTAGACGGTTGGTAAAAACAGTCAGTTGAGCCACAATGTTACGCCTAGCTGCAGCTTAACAGAGCAAGCAACCATGTCAGCACAGATCCCCATGGGGCATTGTGGAGAGAATGATACAACCTGTCACATTTGTCAGGTAATAACAAGGCAATATATCACCTCTGAGCCATCTGTTAAATACCCCTGAAAAGCTTGGCTCCCAGGATCCATTGTTCTGGGGCAATGACATCACTCATGGTCATGATACAGAGGTTCAGCTTCTAAATTAGCATGCAGGACTAGGAATAAATAAACATCTCCCCATGAGGAATCTGACAAAGGAATGTAGCTGCTTAACAGATTCACCTTTAGTGTTCCTAGCCCAAGAAATGACATCTTAATAGTGTATATTGGCACCACTGGTACTGTGATATAAAACTCATTGTCTTTTGGAAACTTAAAGTATTCTTGCCCTACAAATGGGAAGTATCAAACTGACATAACATCCAGAGGTCAGCAATGGCAGCTCCTGTACTTGTGCCATGATAGGTTAACTTTAAAGAGATTTTGTACTTTGTTCATACCAAGAAAAGTAACTATTACATTACAGAAGACACTATAGGCAGCAAGTACTTACCTTCCCTGTACCCTCCCCAGGCATTTTAGTACACTACAATTTCTTAAATAGTTTGGAGGTATGAAGCACCTCTAAGGTGGTTATCCTCTTGACACCTATGCTAAGTAACATATGTAAAAAGATGTATATACTTACCTATTCTCAGCCGCCTCTGGTCCAGTCAGGTGATCCTCTTTGACAGCAGCGGCTGCAGGGGAGAGGAAATAGTGATAAACAACAGCAGGGAATGCATGGGAGTGATGAAATCACCCATAGGCCCATCCGATGTTTGCTCTCCCCCCCTCTCCCCTGCAGCCACTGCTGGTTGACACAAGGGAGACAGTCACCTGACCAGACCAGAGTGGGCTGAACATAGGTAAGTATATACAGAGGTTGGACAAAATTATGGAAACACCAGGTAAAAGAACAAAATCGTTACCTATTATTTTTGTTGGACCACCTTTGGCAACCAAGATGGCCTGAATTCTCCTGGGAATTGAAAAATATATGTCTTGGATGGTGGATAATGGAATCTGATACCATGCTTCATGCAAAAATTGTTCCAGTTCTTGCAGAGATGCTAGAGGCGGAAAACGAGCCCGAACCTTGTTCTCCAATATTGACCGTAGCGGATCTATGATTTTGAGGTCTGGCTACTGCGGCACCCAGGGAAGATGGAAAACCTCATCTGCATGCTTATCAAACCACAATTTGACAAAAGCAGCTATGTGAATCGGAGCATTATCGTCTTGTAAATGGCGCTGTCTTTGGGAAACAATGTCTGCACCATGGGGTAGTGACTCTATTTTTCAAGGTGATGATGCAGCCTGCAGAATACCAAGATATGGCTGCCCAAACCATGATTGTGCCACCACCATGCTTTACTGCTTGCACAAGACAGTCCTGGCTGTAAGCTTTGTATGGTGTTTCACACAGGTATACACGTGGATGGAAACAGTGTGAAGCTCGATTCGTCGGGTCATATTACAGTCTTCCATTAATCAATAATCCATGATTTGTGGGTGTTGCACCACTCTCTTTGGCAATTGCAGCTCATCTGCTGGTGCCAAGTATAGCCAAAGTAAAGGTTCTCTGTTAAACACTATAATACCATGGCCCCTCTATCCACCCCCGAAGTAGACTTGGCGAGCGACCCTACCCCCGGAGAACGGCCCTGTCTCGGTGAGACCTACCATCCCGGACCTCCTGTACCCATTGGATGATCAACCCGGCCCTGACCAGCAGCCCACCTGATGACCCCCCTCATAACCTTCCAATCTGAACTCACACAAACTGGAACTTGCAACCTACAACTTACCAAACAGATCTCTATCCACCCGGATCCTAATCACTAGAACTCCTGCTACAAGAACCTACTTCAACGTGATACGCCACTGCTTGACGGACTATCCGCAACAATGCTCCCTGAGAAACATTCCACCTCCCTCACCTGGCCGCCACTCCGCTTACCCTCCTAAAATGCCACCTGTACTCCTCCTCCTCATACTCCTCTCCTCCATTCCCAAAATCTCCTCTCTCTACCCCCCTACTCCTCCAAAACAACTATACATCACACCCTCACTGCTTCCATCTCCCTGCTATGGCTCTCACCACCTCCTCCTATTACTCCACTCTCCCACCGACCCACACGCCACCACTTGCAGACTTACACGCT